CAGGCCCCTCCCCCAGGATAAGGGGCCCGCCCCTAGTGGGAAAGGAGCCTCAGCCAATCCGGCAGCAGCGTCCCGCCGGCAAGGACGTGCCCCGCCCTTCAGGCGCGGGATTCAAACTCCCGGAAGCGGCGTCCGCGCCGGAGGGTGTGGAGCGCAGAGCTTCACTTCTTGCAGACCGGCGGCCAGGCGCAGCGACGTCCGGGCTTCGCCCGGGAGGGACAGGACTGGACCGCGTGCGACGCGTATTAGGTGGGCAGGTCGCGGCCGCAGGACTCAGTCTCATGTCCCTTTCCCTGACGCTCGCTTCGTGCCTGACACCCGGCTGGGCGCTTACCCACCGTTGCCTCTTCACTTCCTTCTTTAGACTTTGCGGTGCGTATTATTATCTACTTACAGAGAAGCCAAGTGATTTGGATAAAGTCTTTCTTTAGTACGCCTTTGAGCATTAGCGTGTGCTATTTCATAGCCCTTCCACCAACGTCTTCATTTCAGAGGTGAGAAAACAAGTGCCTCTGTGCAGTTTGTGTTTTCCTGTCTGCTATATAGGAGCTCTTAGGCGAAGGCTATCGAAACTTGCTTCTCCTTGCGGAATACACGGCCCGCGGTAGACTCCCTGTGCAGTTTATGGGATTGGAAGGCTCCTTTGATTGCCCCTGTCCACCTTGACTTGAGTCTCTTAAGCCAATCAACTGATGCTTTCTGAGCGCTGTGAATTACAGAAAACTTAAAAGTGTAGCTTCTAAAATAATCGTTGGCTGACTAGGGGAAAAATAAAATAAAAGGTTGGGGGCCGATATAATTTATTACCAGATTGGCGGGGGCGCTGTATCCTTCTTAGAGTTCACAGAGGGAAGGCAGGCTTCTTGAAGATGCCACTGGGTAAGGTAAGGTTAGGTATGATGGGGAACCCTGTGGGTGACTAGAATAGCAAATACAGGGAAAGGAGGTTAGTTAGACTAGGTGTTGGGCCAGAGGCTGGAAATACTAGTCCTTCACGGCAGGCGTTTCCAAAGATTTAGGAGCAAATGCCCTGATTTATTTCAAGTTCTGCTGATCTATATTTACTTTTTTGTCTGTCTCAGAACTTGATTCTTTACTGCCTTGTCCACCCATTATATCAGCTGCACAATGTGAGACCAAGCAAGCATTAAGAAGGAATTTCCAATTTTAGTATATGTGCTGCCAAAGTGAGCACAAGAACAACTTCCTATGCAGCAGGTTCCTGAGACACCTTGCATTTGCCGCAAGGTAGATTTACCTTAATCTTTGACCTAATAATAGGTAAAAGTCCAGGACCAACCTTTTGATACAAGGTTGTTCAACACGGTCTACACAGTTCTAGTAATTTTAAAGCTTTCTGATTGCACAAAGGACAACCTTACAAGTCTCTCCCCACCACCTTAAGTAATGGTCCTGTTTTTACTGGTGTCTTTATCACTACTCTGTTTATTTCCTATAGGGTATTAATTACAATTTGAGAACTCACAAATCTGTTTCTTTGCTATTGTTTGCCTCTTCTACTACATTGAAAGCTCCTTAAGGTCAAGGAACATGCCCACCCACCCCCAAGCACTGGGGATCAAACTCAGGGCCTGCAGCATGCTAGGCAAGCACTCTTATAGTTACACCCCATATCTTTTATATTTTATTCTGAGACAGACTCTTGTTAAGGAGTCCAGGATGGCCTTGAATTTGTGATCCTCCCAGCCTCCCAAGTAGCTAGGATTACAGTTTTGTTTGTTTTTTGTTAAACAGCACCTATCAGGGTTCTTGGTAAATAGTATGAATGCATTAATGGTCTCATTCCATCTGGATTCTTTAATCACACCATCATCATTTTATCTCAGGATGCAAAGTGTAAAAATGCTTTTTTAGCATCTCTAATGAGAGCTACCTGTACATTCAATTTCCTATTTTATATATTATGTACAATACATTTCACTACCTTCTAGTGTTTATTATATACTTGCTGCTAAATTGTCATCTAGTACTGTTAGCTTCTTATTTAATGTAATAAGTTTAGTTAATTTAATGCCTATTACAATAGAGCTGAATTAGACATAGCTTCTTAAACAGGACATACCCATTATATTCAGTAATGCATTTTGATGCCAGTACTCAGATTATTTACCACCAGCTTTTTATTCTTGGATAAGATATGTCCTTGGTTGTGACCTACCTCTTTCAGGTTTTATTTAATAATTAGAGACCACTCTGTTTTCTTTTAAACAAAAAAATTTTAAACTATAATACACATATGGAGCTATGTACTATGCATAATGCATGTTGAAAGCAAATACTACTCATGTATCCACCTCCTGAGGATTTTTTTTTTTTTATGGTACTGGGAGTTGAACCCAGGGACCCTGAGCTACATCCCCATGACTTTTTATTTTGAGACATGGTTTTGCTAAGTTGTTCATGCTAGTCTTGAACTTTTGATCTTCCTGCTTCAGCCTCCTGTGTGTCTAGGATACACAGGACCATGCCTAGCTTTACCTGAGATTCTTTAGAAAGTTGTTACAGCACCCCAGAGGACTTCCTCAGTATTTCTTCTGTAACCCACTGAATGTATCAGTTCTATTTAGAGCAGAATGGGTTATTGGGCCCATTTCAAACCCGAGATTAAAATTTTTAAACTCAGATTTAAAATACAGTTGATTTTTAATTTTACAGACCATTTCAGAGATGTCTTCCAGAAGTCCTAAAGATTTAATGAAGATTAAGTGGACATCAAAGCCTAGTAATACCAAATCAGAAACTGCATTAGAGAAATTGAAAGGAGCAGTGGATGAACTCACAAGTGGAAAAGGAAAACTTACTGAAAAAGACAGACACAGACTTTTGGAGGTAAATGATCTTTAACCCTTTAAATTGAAGTAAGTTTTCTTAGAAAACAATGTGCTAAATTGATGTTGCTTCTTACTCTTGTGATTATCCTTGTCTTATCTAGTTCATTACTTTGGGGGAGTTGAATTTAAACTTGTAATCCTAAATTCCTATTTTGACTTTATCAACTTTTAGATATACTTTAGTTACTGCTAACTTCCCTCACTTTTTAAATATAATTGGTATGTGTTTTAAGGCTATCAGATATTAATTTTTTTTTCAGAAATAAATACATCTAAGGTGTGGTGGTGCACAACTGTAATTTCAGCTGCTTTGGAGGCTGAGGCAGGAGGACTTTTAAGTTTGAAGTGAGCCTACACAGCTTGACAAGACTCAAAATTAAAAAGGCTGGGGATATAAGCTTAGTGGTAGGATATCCCTGGGTTGGATCCCTACTAGTACTAAAAAGGAAAAAGAAAGGCAGTGGAGGAGGAAGGAAAGAAAAATACATCTTGATTAATACTTCTGTACCTTCAACACAATACTATGGTCTGTTTTTCAGTTATTTGAAACAACATTCTAATTTATCATTCCTTCTATACCTTTTTGATAACTTCAGTTTCATTACTTTAACATTATTGATAGATTCTACTATGGCATGTCTTAGTCTGGTTTTTATTGCTGTAACAATGCTTCAGACTGGCTACTTTTAAAAGGAAGGATGTTAAGCTTTCGATTCTGGAGGCTGCTGCTTTTGGTGAGGGCTTTCATGCTACCTCACAACACTGGGCCAGTACACAAGTGAGGGAGAAAATGAGAAAGGAAGAGAGGGAGAGGGAGAGAGAGAGAATGCACCAGGGCTATGTTCACTTTTGTAATGGCCTCCTCATGATCATAACTCAACCGATCTCATGATAAATCACATCAACCCACCCATGAGGGCTCTTCCCTTATGAAGCAGTCACCTCTTTCTAGGCCCCCTCTTCCAGCATTGCTGCTGTGAGAATTAAGGGAATTTGGGAGGACGTGTTCAAACCACAACATGTTATATTTAAGATCCTGAAACATACTGATTTACCATTTTCATTGTTTTTTTTATTTACTGCATAACTTAAAAGTGTCCTATTTCTGTGCTTCTTGGAATACTATAATATTCATTGATGTGTACTTTAAAGATACTGTGCCATTATTGGTTTTTGTTTTGTTTTAAACAGGATTTCACTGTATAGCCCAGGCTGGCCTTGAACTCATGGCAGTCCTCTGGCCTCAGCCTCCTGAGTGCTGGGCTTATAGGCGTGAACCATCATGCCCAGCTGTGTGCTATTATTCTTTTTCTTTTTGTCTGTACCAGGGATCAAACTTGGGTCCTTGTACTTGCAAGGCAGGTGGTGGAACCACTGAGCTAAATCCCCAGCCCTTGTGCCATTATTCTTAAACCTGTTTTTTACTGTAAGGGAGAAGAAAGCTATTAATTATATAATACAGTTTTTGTTAGTTCACTAAAAGTAAAAAGTTATATCTACCAACTTAAGAAATCCTAAGTCCTCTATCCACTTCTGAGTGGAAATAGTGGTCAGATTTTCTTGTAATCACCTCACAGTGTAACATAATGTTTGCATGTCCTTATAAATGTTAAAAAAAACAACAACAACTCATTCTTATCATGCATATTGGCTGATTTTCAAGTAATCTTTGTTTTCAGGCTTTTTGAGGTAAAATAATTAATGTATTAGTATTTTGCATGCTGTTAAACTTTCAGATTCCCTGATTTATAGTCTGTTAGAGCATAATAGTAAAGAAATTAGGAACTTACTAGAACTAGAAGGATTTAAAAGTTTTGAACATAAATTTGGTTTTCATTTATTTTGCAAAAATTATTTTATTGTTCATAAAGAGTATTATCATTAGATTTCCTTAAATTCCATTTATAGGAATGTCAAGAGTGATTGATTGATTGATTGATTGATTTTTTGGTACTGTGGATCGAACATGGATCCTTGTGTTTGTGAGGCAGTCGGCGGAACCACTGAGCTAAATCCCCAGCCTGTGATTTATTTACTTTTTTTAAATGAGTTAATTGGTACATTCTAGGTATATAGTACAGTTACTTTCATTATTGGGATCTTGTACCTTTACATGACAGGTCTTGGTTCTTATTTTTTCCCCTTGTCCCGGCCCTCCCTTCACCCCCTCCTCCCTTCCCTATTTACAAACACTTTATTTCCATTTTCTCATGTTTTTTTCTTTTCCCTTATTACCTTTCTCCTACCCTTCCCACTTTCCCTACACCTTTAGCCCTTTTCTTCCTATTTCACATTGTCAATTATCTTATTAGGATCTTATGTACAGCATGAATTGAAATAATTAAGCATTGAGAAATGAACAGTCATCACCAATTCTTAGACATAAAAGTTATTTTGAAATCTGTTAAAGGAATGTCACAGACTTTCTGAGAGATATCTTTCTAGTTCATTCCATCTTCCACAAACACTGCATGCTTTGATCCTTTATAATTGATCAAAACCAAACTTTTATAGCTTCTACCAGTTTATTCTAATTGTGCCTGCTAGAGCTACATAGAACAAGTCTTTGATTGACAGTTTCTCAGATATTTGAGGAAATCTTGCTTCCTGCTGTAAACTTGGTATTCTTTAGCTTCTCTGGCATCTTATCCTCAGCACTTTGTGGTGGTTTATCTGTTATCTCTCTTAAATTGTGCACCCAGAATTGAATACTGCACCACAAATTCTATGGCTTTGTATCCATATTGTACTACTGATTTGATTTAAGCGTGTGGCCAAGTAAAACCCCCTTGTCATTTTTCATACTAACAGTCATCCACCTAAACTTTAGTTTCTCCATCATTATTTGGACAACTACTTTTTCTTCCCAAATGCAAGATTTAACTTACATTGTTTTGACTCTGTGAGTTTACTCATCCTAATGATTATTACTATCTTTCTGTACTCTTTTTCCCTTACCCCAGTGGTAGGGCAACAAGCATTACTTATTTATCCTGCAAATCTTGGAAAAATGCTAAACACTCCTGTAAAGATTACCTTCCATATGCCAAACCAAATAATTTATTAACAAAAGCAAGTTAATGAATTCATCTTTATCCTGCTATGACATTCTATGCATTTTACTCTCTGCTGGCTGGTTGGAGCTCACTAAAGAACATGTGTATCCTGTAGGACTCACTTTAGCCTTTAGGTTTATAAGCTCCACTATGATGGAGGGAGGATTCTCAAATACTCACATGAGAGCCGGACTTCTTTAGCTTTCTGTCTCTACCCTTGATAAAGATGGTTTCTCCTTTCTTTCTGTCTCTGATCATTTAGTGCAGATGTATGCATGTGAGTTGAGTGTGTATTACATTTATATATGCCTCTCTCTCTCTCTGAGCTGTCTGATCATAGAACTTGGCTTCATCTTCTTTTAGGCCAAGGTATCATAAAACCAACATGATATCAAATAAACTTCATAAATGCTTTTTGAATTGTATTCTTTAGCTGGCTGTTTGACTTGGTGGCTTTGTTCTAAGATTCATCTTAGTTTATATCTAGAAAATTCAAGTTCTTCAAGCTGAAAGGGAGAAGACTGCTTATCACCTCACAGAGAAGGAAAAAGAAATACAGCGCCTCAGAGACCAGCTGAAGGCTCGATACAGCAACACTGCCTTGCTTGAACAGTTGGAAGAGAAAACAAAGGAAGGTGACAGGATGGAACAGTTGTTGAAATCCTTATCCGAAGAGACAGATTCGCTGAAGAAACAGTTGTCTGCTGCAATGGCAAGACTTGGTGAATTTGAAAACCAAGCCAGTGCACTTCATTTATCACAGGTGCTAATATTTATTCAAACTCTGATTTTTTTCTCTCTTAACACAATTTGTAATTCTTGTGAAGAATGAGTTTGTCAAAGCATATTTGCCACATGATGAGCCAATACAGTAAATTTACAGGTTGCTTACTTTTTTTTTCCCGTCTCTTCTCCACAAGCAAAAATAATCAATGTGGTTCCCTCCAATCCTACGTCATTGTTTTACCCAGAGGACTATTCAGAAAGCAGAGTGTACTTTATATCTTCAATAGCCATGATTTACTGAACTCCTTTTTCTCATTTGTATCAGGACACTAGACTTTTTTTGTTGTTTTTTATATTTGGAATACATAATTAATATCAGATGCTTTTCCCCCCTCTTTTCTTTTAGAGGCACTAGAGTAGCAGAGTGCAAAGGTTTGGAGGTAATAGATAGATCTGGGTCTGGGGTCTTGGTTTTGCCACTTGATAGCTATGTAACTGTGGATTCTTTAACCTCCAGCTGTGGAGACAATGACAGAGATTACCAGATCTCCTTTCCTGAACCTGTTTCTTTTTTTTTGTTTTTTTGGTACCGGGATCAAACTCGGGACCATGTGCTTGTGAGGCAGGCAGTGGAACCACTGAGCTAAATCCCCAGCCATGAAACTCAGTTTCAACGTTACTAAAATCTGGATAAGAATACTTACGGTTAAATATGATAATATTTTTAAGTGGCCTTGCAGAATGTTTGGCACATACTAAATACTCTGTAAATGGTTATTTATTGCTCAACCTTTGATTCTGGAGGATATTTGGACATTTGAATAATACTAACACAACTATGAACACCACCTATTGAGATAATCTGGGTCTTCCAAATATACTATTTTAATGCTGTTAATGCTGTCTACACTTTCTGTCCCTTTTGGGGTAGGCACAGTAATCATATCTACATTTACAGGCACTTCCATAGATAGGCAATAAGTATTTCTACAGATAAGTTCAAAGAGGTAAAAGATTTTCTAGAGAATTTCCATAGAGCTGAAAACATTACACTCAGACCCAAAGTAGTTAACTAAAATCTTTGAAGTTCAAGGGTTACTTTCTGCACTTCTAATATGAATTACAAATCTTAGTAAAAGTTATAATTTTTAAAGATATAATCTTCTATTTTTGTAGGTTACACTCTATTGATCTCTGCTCATTGCATGACCAACTACTGTAACAAACTACCTTCAGATCTCAGCAGCTTAGCACAAGAACTGTTGGTTTTTCCTCACATCACAGCTGGTGCTAGTGGGTGGAGGAAACATTATAGAGTCAGAGACCCAGGCCCCTTCCTTCTGGAAGCTCCACCATCTTTCAAAGTTGAGTCCTCACTCGATGCCCTGTGTAGAGATGATGCAGCACGTAGAGAACTAACTACCTAAGGAGGGCTTTGTAGTCAGGCCTGGGACTGGTGTGTTACTTCTGCCCACTTTAGACAGAAGTCAGGCTCATGGCCCCACTACCTACAGAGAAAGCTAGGAAACAGTCCACAGTGTACCTGAGGAGGTGGGGATCAGGAGAGGGAGGAGGATGGTGTTTAATGAAATCCCTGCCACACTTTCTATCTGGAGGACCAAACTGAGAGAAAGGGTTGTGTATTAGCTTGAGTGAATAGA